CGAGAGGCGTTTCCGTGTGCCGATCGGCCCCGCCAACCTGTTCCGTCATGCGCACCTCCAGGTCCACTGAGGACGGGCAAATATTTTGTGCTTGGAGCTCGGTTGGAAAATAGATTAATGACCTCCCGCCGTGTTTAATATATATCGCGGCGGTTTAATATCTTCGGCATTTCTCGGGTCGGATGAATAATGACATGCTTTGCCCCGGAAATCCTCTAAAATGGCTTCCAGTCACTACCTGCTGTGTTTATTTATGTTTTATGATCTATATATAATCAGAGAGGATGCCTTTCCTCATAAATACTGCAGTGTCTGCTTTTGCTCTGTCATAACAGAACTTATCTGGTCTCACTCAGAGTGTAGTGATGGATACCCTACTATGCCACCCAAACAATCGCCTTTTTTCAAAGCTTTTTAAAAAGGAATAGAAATGTTGTTTCTGTGTGCTTGGCTACAGCGTCTTGAAAATGCCGCTTCAACATACTTCATAACTCACATCCATTCTTGGGTTCATGACAAATCCTGGATGTTCATGCAGTAACTGACGTGGAATTCTGCTCAGTAAATTTCTCGAAGAAGTAGATCATCTTTTATGTAACGGCCCCATTTCAACAGAGGGATGGAGAATGTCCGATTTTTCTTGAAGACCGTGTCGTTCCTGGACCCGCACTGTGTTCCTGTTGAACACGTTTGAGAGGATCAGATATTAAGGAGTAGTGTTACTGTATACCGTGGTACCCCACTTTTCAAAGCTGTTCGTTATTACCTTTCTTTAGTATATGTACTAATTGCACTACTGCAGACATCACTAACGTTATATTTGCAAGCAAATTCAACTATGTTTTGCTACGCTAACATCATCAAACTAGTATCTGTGCCTACAGGTTATTATGCTACACTGTGTTTCAAGCAACTAGATAATCAAATATAATATGCTTTTTTAATGTGTATATTGAGCAGATGAATGGACGAACGTAGCAGAAACTGCTGTTATCTTTATGGGCATGTAACTCTCCTTTGTTATGGTAATGAGTTTGATTGCGGCAATAAGTTTTACAATTCTGCATGCTCGTCTTTTTTTTTTCTCATTTGTCAGCACGACATCCTTCAAAATCCATATAACCAATCACATCCATACTGACCCCCCTCCCCTGTAGCCCCCAGTGCTCTCTTATCTGTTACAGTTGGCTCTTATTTGCTGTTTGTTTAACCTTTAAATCTTGTGATTATGATCTTGTGATTTCTATGCTTAGTCCTTAACGTTACTTAATCACTAGAAGAGTTCGATCTTAACTGTTTTAATTTCAGTGATATGACTCGGTGACATAAGTGCAGAATTTACCATGAACAACACTTAACGTTTTTTTCTGTATTGGTATCGTTGTAGTACTGTAACAGTATCGTGCTACTTAAAGGGGTATCAGTATCAAGGCAATCATTTTGGTGATGCGACAGCTCTATTCAGGACCACCATCTATGAATTCTGTTTCTTCTGCTCAGGAGTGCACAGTGTCATCAGGAAGGCCCACTATGATGGAGGAGGACCACAAGGTCATCAACCAAGGCCAAGAAGATGAGATGGTGAGTCTGACTTCTCTCAGCTGCTCAGTGCACCCCAATAGAACAGTGTTTCCCAATCCGGTCCTCGGGGACCCACAGTCGGTCCATGTTTTTGCACCCTCCCAACTCCCTGCCAGACGGTCCACATTTTTGCTCCCTCAGCAAAAACATGGACTGTCTGTGGGTCCCCGAGGACCGGATTGGGAAACACTGCTATATCCAATTTAAAACATGTATTTAAGGAGCTATATGAAAAGATGAGTTTGCCTTTGGACAAAATTGTGAGCTGAAGAATGAGTCGATAATTGGGTTGAATTTGAACTGAAGTGATTCTTCATGGGCCTTTTGCGCGAGCATGTTGGAATGCTGCTTTTCCCATCTTACTCTCCTTTGAGACACACACATATACACATAGGGGTTGAGTACAGGGTCAGGCTATTTATCCAGCCTTGCTTAAGGGCCTTAGGTAAATATGACCATTCTGCTGAGGGTAGGACTCGACCTTGTGACCTTTTGATGACACACATACACAGAGGCTTAACTTGCTGAGCCACACACAGTGTGACTGACCCCGTCTGAACACCGACTTACTGACGACACAGCGGTAAAGTTCTTATTGAACTAGAGCTCTTGTTGTGAGGTAAAAATTTAGGGTTATTATAAAATGGGTGGGTTTCGTCCCAAGGGCAAACAGGATGGGATGCCAGTCTATCGACGGGCCCATAGCCAATCATGCACTGCAAGCAATTTTCAGACCCTGCTTAGCTTTATCTGCATGTCTTTAGACTGGGGGAGGAACGCCACTGAGAGAACAAGCAAACTCCACACACACAGCAGGGGGCCTGTATCACGAAGCGGGGTTTGTTGCTTAACTGGATAACTCGCCGGGTTTAAGGTGGTCGGGGCTAAACGTAGGTGAGCGAAGGTGAAGTCAAATGTGGGATTTGAATCTCCAGACCTGGGGGTGCAAGATAACGATGAAAAAGTGCTTCCCATTGAGTCATTTGCCTACACAGTTAAGCAACAATTATGTTAGTAGCATACAGCTCTGGAATAAAATTTATGGGTATGCGGCTGTGTAGAATGTTTCAAACTCCTGCTTCTCTCCTGTTTCCATGCTTCTCCTTGATGAAGGGCTTCTTCTTGTGTTATGGGTCTTCAGTCCTGCTTCTAGGAGCCTGTTATGAGTTGTCCTAGCAGTGCACTGCACACCTGCGCTTAATGTTTCACATTATTTTTGAATGTCATTCGAGGTCATCCTCCGATTTATGAGGCACTGCGAGATAAGTTGATGGTCATCTCTGGCATTAGAATGTTGCTTCTGCCCTCTACCCGGCTGGTTTATGGTCGTACCCAGTTTCTCTTGCTTCACCTTGTTCTTGTGTCATACTGTCTTAGAAACTTTAAGCCAGGATGCAGCCTCTCTGGCAACGTAGCCTTCAGCCAGATGAGTCAGGGTTAAACCAGGATTTAAAAATACAGATATTTTTTAAAATGTCGAGTGGTCTCTTAATTTTTTTCCAGAGCTGTATAATTATAGCTGCCTGCATAATTCCAGACCTTTTCATTCATAAAATCCATTATTTCGGAGAGTTCCTGAGACTCACACGCTGTGCGGCGTCTCCCTGGTTCCCCCAGGAGATCTCAGGCTACCGGATGTGCCGCTGGAAGCTGTTCTTGGTGGGCCTGGGTGCCGTCGGCACGGGCGGCTTCCTGCTGCTTCCGCTCTACTGGATGCCTCATTGGCTCCTCCGGGCCACATGCTCTCGGGCCACCATTGGGGACGCTGATATGGTGCTGCTCAGGACCACGGTATGTGTGACTTCTGTAGAGACGGAGCATACCACTCAGTGTGGTGGGGGGAGCGTGCGGCATGAACTAGATCTGCACAGCAGGTGGCGCAGTGGTTAAGGATCTGAAATCGCGCCAAAATCGTGAATTAATTGACCTATTTAATTCTATAAAATGATTGTTCGAGTAACTGAAGTATGAAATTGTTCGTTTCATTACATGACATGTTGTTGAGGCTTCTAAATTAAATCCCATGAACCGGTCTGTCCCAGGACGAGTTTAAGAGATGGTTCCGAGCTCGGGTTCAGTGGATGCTGGCTCCGGGGAAGAAGCCTTTCAACAAGCTTGACTCTCAGACAGCTGTCACAAATGGCCATTCCAAGCACGACCCCATTGGGATGCAACCCAGTCAGCATCTGGTAGAGGTAGAAAATGTCCCAACATCAAAAGTGGGGGCCACATTGCCAGTCTCGACCCCCATTTTAGCACACCAGCCTGATGGTGACCATCTCACTCCCACCATACAGCAAAATACACTATATCTCCATGTCAGCATTTGTTGCTTGCTGAAATTGTCTTATGTCTTTTCCTCTCAGATACGCTACTTCACACTGCACAGTACAACTTATTTCTGGAATGATATGATCCAGAATTTTGAAGTGTTGAAGTAAGATTTAAGATGACTTACCTTCTGTGTGTGCATGCGTGTATATTTGTGTGTGTGTGTGTATATAATAATATACATATGTGTGTGTGTGTGTGTGTGAGAGTGTATAATATACATATATATATATGTGTGTGTGTGTGAGTGTATGTCTTTATGTGTGTGTGTGTGTGTGTATTTATATAATTCTTCATGTGATTTTTGAAATTACAATTTTACGTCCATTTATAAATCATTGTTCTTGGGATCTCCGATTTTCACCCCAAATGTTTGGTCTTTCGTTAAACGCTGGTAATCATGATCTGTACATACTGTTAGGGTTGCTGGTGTCTGGTAAGGAAGCAGCACACACTGAGCCTGTAATAATGGCGTGTGCGTGTTACAGAGGCCTGGAGGACCTGAATGTGACCTGCTCGGCTATTCACTCTGAGCACAGTGCGGGGCTGACCAAGCACATGCAGGACTACAGGTCTGTGGGCGGCCTACAGCTCTGCAAGTTCCCTTGGTGTTATGTCACTGCTGAACTGACGTTACACTCTTATTATTCCATCCATCCATTCATCCATCCATCTGTCCATCCATCACCAATATTATTATAATCATTATTATTGTAATTGTCATCATCATTGCTATTATTATTACTTCTATTAAGAACAACAGAACAACAACAATAATAATGATAATTATGATAATCTAACCATACATAACGGCTTTTTCAGTGCAGGGTCTTGTCACATTATTATTATTATTATTATTATTATTATTATTATTATTATTATTATTATTATTATTATCATCTTCTAACATCATGCCCACTCATTGCTGGGCACAAACATACACATACTATGGTTTCCTCCCACAAGGAAATAAAATACATTTAGTTGGGCAATTTATCGTCTTTAAATTGCCCGATGTGCGTATGAGCCCATGTCTGTCACGGGCCCCCAGGGGACCTCAGACAGGTGCCAGCTTTGCTCTCATGCTAGACTGTGTAGTTGGTTGTGCCAGATGGATGGATGGATGGATGGATGGATACATTTAAATGCTCACGGTTATTAGCATATTAAGCTACAATGTCAGCCTCAGGTACACTTAGCTCTGTTGGATGAGTGAATTCAAATTAAATGTACATACAGTAACATTTATTGTGTGTGTGTGTTTGGACAGGAGGTTGTTTTTTGGGGTGAATGAAATTGATGTGAAAGTACCCTCAGTTTTTAAACTTCTCATTAAAGAGGTAGGTAACATTATGATGGCAAAGATGAGAATGTTGATTAGCAAACTGTTCTTCTTCTGGAAATAAACTTTAAGGAAGTAAAGTGATGCATATGTTCCAGTATGTTGCAATATCAGAGATTTCCTGTTTAATAATTAAAGATTAATGATCCCAACATGAATATAATATGAAAATATACTCTTACAAACATTTTGACTAAAAGCGTAAAGTATGTTGCCTGTTTGCCTCATTAACCGTCCTTGTCTCTCCCAGGTGCTGAATCCGTTCTACATATTCCAGTTCTTCAGTGTAATCCTTTGGGGCTTTGAGGAATATTACTACTATGCTGCAGCCATAGTTTTTATGTCTCTTGTTTCAATAGCTACCTCCCTCTACACTATCAAAAAGGTTAGCATTAGCAAATGCATCGCGTTAGCAGTGTTTTCGGAAGGGGGTGGGGTTGTTTTGCAGTTATTTAACTAGGTGCATGGTGTTGTGAGTTCTACCTATTACAAACAGGACTAAAATAGATCTATGGTTGTTCGGCAGCGGTCGATATCTTTCTTCTGAAACACTGCATTGTGTTGTTTCAGCAATATGTCATGCTGCACGACATGGTTGCCTCTCACAGTGTGGTCCGAGTCTCTGTGGTCAGAGCTAATAATGGTAAGTGTGAACTCCGCCTCTCACATTAAATATGTATGAGACACCAAAAACATATCAGGAACTGTAGGCGGTTACAAGAACTTTTCATTAATGTTCAGTAGAGAAGTCTGAAGACTGTTTAAGCAGTCTGATTTGGGTATAGCTCACCCATGAAAGTAAGACTCATGATGTTGTTGAAATTAGTTTGAATACTGAGCCGTGAACAGTACTGTGCAGAAGCCTCTTGCAGTGAAAGAAAATGATTTTTAAATTTAAACGATTTATGTCTGTCAAAATATGTCAGCTATTTCAAAACCTATGTATTTGTTGACTGAACCGCTGTCTCTTATTTAGCTACTCAATACCTCATTGAGTTCACTAATTAAATTGGAGGTGGAGTTGGAGGTGAAATTTAACGAATACATGAAATGGCTGAGGTGCCCATGAGGAGAGGTTTGCCAACCAACGCAGTGTTCTAGCTGTCCAACAAGATACCAGTTACTTTATGGAGAACAGGAGCAATTTGTTTTAGTTTTTATTGTGATAGCCTCAACTTGCATATGTTCTAATGATGTCTTTTTTGTTGAGAAAATATGGACTTACTTACCCTGATAAATAGCTTTAAGCATTTTCTTTGACTGCCCCAGACGTTTGCACAGTACTGTATTTGTGAAGACGATGATCTGCAGGAGTTTACAGAGCACCATCTGGGGCGTTCTGTGTCCACAGAGATTGAGGAGATGATGTCCACGGATCTTGTGCCTGGGGATGTGATGATCATCCCTAACAATGGGGCAATCATGCCGTGCGATGCGGTGCTGGTCAGTGGCACCTGCATTGTCAATGAGAGCATGCTCACAGGTGATTGGGACGGCAACAACCTCACACATACTCATCGCATTCATTTTTTTTTTTTTCCGAGACTAAATATGTCTTGTGGTGATGACTCATGTTCGAAAATAAGTGTTTCTCTGGTTCCGTGGTTTGAAATATTTCCGCAAATTTCAGATAAACAACAAGGTCCATTGTTCTAACGTTCCTAAAATGTATTCAAATGTTTCGTTCTCATAACCAGAAAAGGAAAATCTCCTATGTCCCAGGACTGCTCCAAATTACCCACTCAATGATTGGTTCAGGTTGTTGAGAAATAAAACAGAACATGTTGCTATACACAAAATAGAGAGTAAGAGAAAGCTAGAACATATCAGTATGGATAATTGCAATCACCTCTCTTTCCTCCTTTGGCTCTGTTCCCAACCACTCTCCATCCTCGACCAATAAGAGATACTGAAGGTCATGTTACGTGTTTTAAGTGTCCTTCCTGTTTCTGGTGCTAGGTGAGAGTGTTCCCGTTACCAAGACCAATTTGCCGAACCCTGGGCAGGGCCTGATGGGGCTGGAGGTGGACGCTGTCTACAGCACAGAAGAGCAGAAGAGGCACACATTGTTCTGTGGCACTTTGGTCATTCAGACTCGATTCTACTCTGGAGAGCTGGTCAAGGCTGTGGTGGTCAGGACTGGTTAGTGTTCCTTGATGATGATGATGATGATGATGATGATGAAGTTGTGTATGTGGATAATGTTGTTAATGATGATGACGATGATGATGGTTTATTTGCTGTTGATGGTGGTGATGTTGATGATGAAGGTGGCGATGTGTGTTAAAGATTGTGATGCTAATGGAGTATGTGTTGATCGTGATGGTGGTGATGGTGCGATTAAGATGATCACGATTAAGAAGGTGTTGGTGATGATGGCGATAGTGTGTATGTGGATGACGTTGAAGGTGATGATGATGATGAGGGTGTTTGTGCTGTTGACGTTGATGGTGGTGATGATGTTATAAAGATTATGATGATGAATATGTGCTGATCCTCAGGTGGTGATGGTGAAGATGAACACGATGAAGGTATTGATGATGGTGATGCTTCGTGTCTCTCTCCTAGGCTTCAGTACTGCTAAGGGCCAGCTTGTCCGCTCCATTCTGTACCCCAAGCCCACTGATTTCAAGCTGTACCATGATGCCTACCTCTTCTTGCTGTGCCTGGTGGGTGTGGCTGCGATCGGCTTCATCTACTCCATCGTTCTCAGCATCCTGAACAAGGTATCCTATATTATTATCGGGGAGTTTGGAAAATAAGATGTCAACCTTCCCCATCGATGGGACGTCACTCAAACACAGCCCAAACTCCCCAGGTGCCAGCTAGAACCATCATCACTGAATCGCTGGACATAATCACTATCACGGTGCCCCCTGCGCTGCCAGCTGCCATGACAGCCGGCATCGTGTATGCCCAGCGGCGTCTGAAGCATATTGGCATCTTCTGCATCAGTCCCCAGAGGATCAACATCTGTGGGCAACTGAACCTGGTTTGCTTTGACAAGGTAAGGCCAGGAGGAAGGCTGCTTGTCCTCTAACTAAACCCAAATGCAACCCACCTGTCATCATAATCTCTGTGGAGGAAACTCTTTCTGCTTTATCTAATTGTACAAAATCACTAAGCTGTAGCAGTAGAAGATTATCGTGATCAGATTAAGATATGGTGTTCTGACAGATGTGTTCGGTTCTGATGTCATTTTCTGGCAAGAATTCTTGATTTATGAAACACAGTAAGCAGCAATCAAGAGATTATAGCATAGCTCAAGTGGATTGGCTGGGCTGTAAAAGCCAATGGCCTCAGGGTAACATGGGCTTGGTTGGGTTTGGTCACAGACAGGTACACTTACGGAAGATGGCCTGGACTTGTGGGGGATCCAGCGGGCTGAGTCAGGCAGGTAAGACCACAAAGTCTGTCGAAGTACAACCTTCCTGGTTTCTCTTTAGCGCTCTTGTTTGTCTGTTAATTTAGCTACTTATCCGATATTTTCTATTCAAAGCCACTTGCTTATAGTTAACAATGTAGGTACCAATTCTTTTTACTGATGCTCTTCACGTTAAGTTTCTTGCACAGCGGAACAACATAATTCTCGTTTATGGCAACATGAGACAATGAGCCTATGTCAACCCAAGTCCTTGAGTGCTTACCGTCCTTATTGGTCCCTGCAGTTTCTGCCTGTCAGAGGTCAATGTCTGCCAGGAGACCCTGGTGACATCCCCCTTTGTGGTTTGCATGGCCACCTGTCACTCTCTGACTAACATCAATGGACAACTCTCAGGAGACCCCCTGGATCTCAAGATGTTTGAGGCCACAGGCTGGGTAGGCCCATGTTCTGCTTCCTCTATGAAGCAATGACGTAAATTCTGGTTAGGTTGTCATTGTTCTGTCCAAATACCAGAGGTGGATAGCCCAGGTCCAGAAAGTAAAAATCCAGACCAAGATTTTGTTTCAACCAACCAGCTAAGTACTCTGTGACTATGACTCTTTATACGCAAGTAGTTGGTTGAAACAAAATTTTGGTCTGGATTTCACTTTCTGGACCTGAACGATCTACCTCTGCCAAATACTATATATGATACTATCTATAAATAAGCATGACCACTGGCTAATTTTATTCCATTATTGCTTCCTTTTTCCGGAGAAAGTAGAGATGGAATTTTGAGGTTTTGTTTTTGTAGGAAATTCCTCTGCGGAATGTGTTATTGCCCCCCTGCCCAGTGCTGTGGCACCTGTACAGGAAGAGCTGGGTGCAGTGGAAAGTTAGAGGAGAGGGGTCTTCTAGTCTACCTAAAAGCTTTTGTCTGTGGCTCTCAGCTCCTTCAGGAAGCCACAGAGGAAGAGACGTCTCTCCACAACCAAATCACACCCACGGTGGTTCGGCCGCCCAGGCAGGTGCTTCCCCAGCCAGCTACACCCCCGGAGCATGAAATGGTAACGCTTGGAAAGTCTTCCACCTTCTGTGTAACTGATTGGTGCCCCTGCGTTCCCCAATCCCCCTACCTGCACATGCAATGGTCTGGTCCACTAGAATTCACATCTACTGTACGTTTCATGTTATATAGTTACTGTAGTGGAATGCTGTATGTTACTCAGTAGTCTAAAGTGTTTTAACTTTAACCAGACCATGTAAATAAGTAAATAAGGGCCGATCTAATCTATATTATCTAAAAGCATAGCAACGTATGGGTTTGAAGACACTTATGTAAGCTAGCTCTTCAGCTCATCTGAATTGGTATCATGGTCTTTTGAAAATGGGTGATTATGATTTATGAGATGCAGTATCACGTCAGTTGCTTGTCTCCAGAGAGTGTCGAAATGACCTCCATGTTGGTGTAAAACTATGATTTTATGTCTGTCAAAGTGTGTCTGCTTAGCCGTTTGAAAACCTCTGCCAAAATCACCCCAGTATGTTTTGTGTCGACCATCCAATACACCATGTAGTCCTTTTTTTGCTCAATTGCTACCCCATTTTCTGTGGCTACGCAATACCTCCTTGAGTTATTTAACAAATTAAGTTAAATAATTAATTGAGCTGATGGGGAAATTTAGCAAATACATGGAATGAGAACCAAAATCCAGCCCTCCAGCGAGATATCAGGAACTTTTTGGAGAACAGAAGAAATTCTTGTTTGTTTGTTTGTTTTTTCTTTTGTGTTTCTGTTAATATGCATATATTATAATGTTAAATTGTGCCCTTTTCTGGGCAAATATACATTTACTACGAAGATAAATAGCTTTAAACATTTTGATTGACAGCCTAAGACCTTTGCGCAGTGCTGTATGTTTGATATGTGGATTTCCAGTATGGCTGTCTTGACATACTTTTGCTTGTCTGGGCTCTTCTGTTTTTCAGGAGCTGAATGAGCTGTCTGTGAGTATGCCCACTTAGATTGCATCTATCATGCATTATTTTCTGTTTGCGTGAGCACTGACACTGTTGCCCAACGCTTCGCCAGCTGTCCTACGAGATCGGAATCTTGCGCCAGTTCCCTTTCTCGTCGGCGCTGCAGCGGATGAGCGTGGTGGCCCGGCGGCTGGGTGAGAAGCATATGGATGCCTACCTGAAGGGGGCGCCAGAAGTGGTGGCCAGCCTCTGCAGACGAGAAACAGGTCAGGCTTTGTTCTGGTGCCTCTGGCAGGGATACATTGCAAGACATGCTTCTGCTATCTTAGCCTCTCCCAACTTGCCTGTTCAATAGCTGTTTGTCCGCATGAACATGTATATTTCAAAATGACTATATTTAAAAGGTCAGCACGTGGCTCTTGCCTTTGTTCTGTTCCTGTCAACATAACAATAACATTTTTTGCCTTGCTTTGCCTTTCTGGATTTTCAGATTTCCTGTCCGTTCGCATTCCTCATGTCATCATCAGTGAAGCCATTTTCGTGTTTTTTTTTTTCCTTCTGCCGTTGCAGTACCTGGGAACTTCTCTCAGGTTCTGGAGAATTACACCAAGCTGGGCTTCCGGGTCATTGCCCTGGCCCACAGACACCTGGAGTCCAGACTCACCTGGCACAAAATGCAGAACATCAGCAGGTGCTGTCCACACCGCCTCCCCAGCCCCACCAAAAGGCCCCTTTGGGGAAGTCATTCCTGTTCAGGACCCCATGGTCCCACGATCCCTTAGCTGCCCTCTCCTTTCATGAGCTGGCTGTTGTGGCCACTGTGAGTTCTTTGTTCTTTTACTTCCCATTAGTTGCTGCGTAAATCCATATTTTTTTTAATACATTCCCATCTATGTCCTTTTCTGTTCCACAGGGACCTGGTTGAGAACAACATGGAGTTCCTTGGCTTAATCATCATGCAGAACAAGCTGAAGGCGGAGACACCGATGGTGCTGGAGCAGCTCAGGCACGCCAACATTCGATCTGTGATGGTGACAGGTCGGTAAATCTCAGCTAATCCCGTGTGTCTAATACTGTCATTGGCTGCACAGTAAACTTTTGAGGTTGTTATCCTGGTCTGGTGACTCTGGGGGGGAAAAAACACCCTAACTTGCACACAACCCTTACCACGCCCTTCAGGTGACAACATACTGACCGCAGTATCAGTAGCACGGGACTGTGGTATGATACCGCCGCAGGACAGAGTGATCATCGCAGAGGCGCTGCCCCCGGCGGACGGCCAGCCCGCCAGAATCGAGTGGCACTACATGGATGAGCCCGGCCTGCATGACTCTGACGCCGCTCCGTTCGAGGTTAGCCAGCCCCCGGCTCCCCATGTGACCTCGCTCCTGTCCACCTCAGTCCTCACGATGACTGGACTGAACACGGGCAGCCGGCGCGTAACAGAAGCAGCACGGGGGATAAACTGAGTGTCTTTGTCTCCGGGCTGAAGAATGTTGCATGCTGGAGAACAAGAGAGTACTGTACTGACACACAGTGACCTCAATCACACTGATGAATTGAGCAGCAACGCTGGAAATAACCCTCTGTAAAGAATCATGGAATTTAACCACCGTGGTTAAAACGTCATTTAAATGCTGTGAATTCCTGGTTAATAAAATATAAATATAGTAAGGGAGTCATGTTTTTTGGCCCCGAACCCCACCCCCCTCCAACCCCTGGGAATATAAATCTATAACCTTTTATCCTTTACATAAAGTGTAGTTGATTATATGCCACATCTAGGCTATGATATTTATTTTTTTATTGACAGGACAGGCAGAATGATGCAATCATATTTGTTATCCATTTAAATCACAGTTAATTAAGACTGAGCTAGACCTTTGATTAATGACGTACCCCTCTCAGGTGGTCCAGATCGGCATGGGTGAGGAAGACCCCGACCCCGATGAAGACCTCAAACCACTGGAGCATTACCATTTCGCCATGAGTGGAAAGTCATTCACCGTGGTCACCGAGCATTTTCAGGACTTGGTCTACAAGGTCAGAGCCCGACACAATTAATGTGAAACAGTAATGATTCTGTCCGCTTTGCTGCCTTTCTGATGCTCCTGTCAGGAGCCAAAATGGCCGCAGTACCTGTCAGGCATGTATATAGCAACAGCTACGATTAGCAGTCACGCGTGGCACCGATTTAAAAAAAAAAAAAAAAAAAAAAAGGAGAAATTGCCAAATCCATGATCTCTACCTCTGTGTCGTCTTATTAAGTGACTTCATCACAGTGAAGGAAATGAAGGGTAAATTGACAAAACACACTCGGCTCAGAGGGTATGCAGATGGGATAAGTTTGGGTGTCAGTGCCACGTCTGTGGACATGGTGAGCTTTGCAAATGTGCAGTTGAGGAAGAAGTTCTCAGTTTTCATACTTGACTAAAAATATAGGCACCACACCTATTACTCAAGTAAAAGTAAAAGTTATACAGCAAAATACTACTTAAGTAGAAGTAAAAAAAAAAAAAAATCTGGTTTTAAAAGTTTATAAGTATCAAAAGTAAAAAAGTGCTCTACATTAAAACCTTGTAAAAGAGAACCTCTCCTTTTAAATTCACTCAAGCCAGATTTGCATACAGCACTTCAGGTTACAGTGCATCACAATAAGGGAAGCTGAGTCGCAGGAGGAAAAGCAGATACTCTCTTTGTGTTCAGAAAACGCGGTGAAGCTTGGCCAATTTGCCGGTGCAGGCCAGCAAAATGCAGGTTTCTGCCGTGAAAAGGAAAGATCCGTCTGCGGGGCCAGATTTAATAATGTATTATAAACATTTCATGGGCTGGGACTTCGATACCTCTTATACTGTAAGTGGTGAAGCAGCCGACTCGTCCTCTTCTATGGAAAATGGCTGATCGTACCTTTGTAATCATCTCCGTTATTTTAGTACTACCTCTAGTGCTGCTAACTTTAAATATTAATAAAGATTAAATATCTGAAATATCTGTCAGTATTTTAACTATAATAGTGCATCACTCCTGTTTGTTCAATCTTCATAAAGACAATATGTAATGAAAAAGAGTATTAAAGAAAGAAATCGCTCACGAACCGTGAGAGAAAATCGCCATCTCGATTCTGAGTGGAAAAAACTTGTGATTTCTTTGTTACCCAGTATCACACAGCCTAACTGAGGCAGTGCATGCATCAGTATATATTGTTTTAGCTGAGTGAATATTGATAGTTGTGCACAATGTATCAAAGTAAAAAGTTGTAATTTAGCTCAGAAATGTAGCTAAGAGAAAGTATAAGTTGCCAAAACTTAAAATACTCAAGTAAAGTTCAAATCCAGAAAATAAGCTACTGTACTTAAGTACAGTGCCAAAGTATTTTTACTCTTGCTACATCTCCAGAGGTGTAAAGTACCAAAGTGTTTGTACTCAGAAGATCCTATTTGTCATTGTTAGTGCTGGCCTACTTGACTATAAAGGACGCAGACTCAAAGGAAGTTTTTATTAACATTGAAACAGTTAAAACTCCCTAGAACAGTCTCTGATAAGAACTGAGTGAGTTTTGGTTCTCAGTACTATGAAATATGATGAGGAAGCCTGACTTGAGGTCGTTGGTGGTCTCATCCAAAAAACAACAATGAACTGAATGATTTTTGGAAATTTACTCTTCAAATGGACATAATCCAGGTATATAAGATTCTAACGGGTCTGGATGCTATTCAGCCAAATAGCTATTTCAATATTAGTTTAAATACTAGAACTCGTGGCCATAAGTGGAAATTTTTAAAAGTGGAACATTTTAAAACGAATTTGAGGAAGCATTTCTTTACACAGCGTGTAGTTAGAGTATGGAATAGTCTTCCTGCTAGTGTAGCTCAAGCTAAAACCCTTGGTTCCTTTAAATCAGAGCTAGATAAGAGTTTAACAACTCCGAGCTATTACTTAAGTTCTCCCCAAACGAGCTTGATGGGCCGAATGGCCTCCTCTCGTTTGTAAATTTCTTATGTTCCTAAATGGGAACGCGGTAAAGCTTCTCTAGAATATTTGCTCCATCGAGAATATAATAATAATTTGATAATATATTTGGCATAGATCGTAATTCAGTGATTTGTTATAGCAATATTAGGCTCTGATGTAAGCGCAGTAATACGGAAGTAGCCCCTGCTTTGGTACAGTGTATCACTGATGCTCCTTCCCTCTTCTCTCTGGAGAAGTTGTTGCTACGAGGTACGGTGTTCGCCCGCATGACTCCTGACCAGAAGACCCAGCTGGTGGAGCTACTACAGAGTGTGGAGTGAGTAGCCCAGATCCCTGCTGAGGGCAGGAGAAACACCTGGGGCAGTGTTTCCCAACCCGCTCCTCGGTGACCCACAGACCGTCCACATTTTTGCTCCCTCCCAGCTCCTGGTATGGAGGGAGCAAAAATGTGGACTGTCAGTGGGTCTCCCAGGACCGGACCGGGTAACACCGGCCTAGAGAGCTGTGATGCCCAACTTTAGTTTTCTTATGAAAGTCTGTCTCATATTCTGTCTGTGTCCCATTGGAAACTATAACTGTCCCTAACGGTCATTTTTTAAAAATAATGTTTTTCAGAATCCTTTAATATTAGAAGATACCTCTCTGTTCCACAGTGCAAAATTCCATAGGTAACATTGTCGTGTCCGTCTCTCTGGTCCCCCTACAGCTACTTTGTGGGAATGTGCGGAGATGGAGCAAACGACTGTGGTGTAAGCATTCCCCTCACATTTTGTGGAGTTTTTATGGACTTTGAGTTTGATAGCCAAAGACCCAGGAACGTCGTTAAATGTGTATAGCCATAAGTGGCTTTAATAAAAGCACCAGCTCAGTACGGATGATCAAAGACCTTCATTCTGAAAGTTATTAAACTTTCATAGTTCCATGTTTCCATTATAAAGGAAAGCGCTCGTAGCTTCATTCATTTTAATTGGCCTGTGCTGGGTTGCTATGACATTGACATCACTGGCACGCGGTTGGCTGTGATTGGTCAATTCACCCACCCCGTACCACATCCCCCCAGGCACTGAAGAGAGCTCACAGTGGGATCTCTCTTTCTGAGCTCGAAGCCTCTGTGGCCTCCCCCTTCACCTCCAAGATCCCCAACATCTCCTGCGTGCCAAACCTCATCAGGTGAGACCATGCTGTCCAGCAGGGGGCGACGTTAGCCAGCATGCGGCGACATTCCTTTTGGCATGTCTTCAGACTTAATATCTTAATATAGTAGTGGGCTCCTCACCAAAGATGCCATTTCACATCCATATATAACCCCGTTTCCAAAAAAGTTGGGACGCTGTGTAAAATGTAAATAACAACAGAATGCAATGATTTGCATATTTGCAAACAAAACAATAAAATTTCTCAGTTTCAACATTTGATATGTCGTATTTGCTCTGTTTTCAATTAAATATGGGTTTATGTGATTTGTAAATCATTGCATTCTGTTTTTATTTACATTTTACACAGCGTCCCAACTTTTTTGGAAACGAGGTTGTATATAACTTCTAGTGTTTACCTTCAAGAATCTATAGTAGCATATACCCTAATAGCACAATGTATGCCTGTTTAGTATAAATGGACTAGAAAGTGTTTAGTCAATCTACACACGTAAGCAATGGAAAAATAGCTTTATCGAAGAAGTGTCATCTACCCACGCGTGTAATGAGGCGATGTGGATCTCAGGAGGCATCGCCAGTCCATCCCAGATGATTCCCCCTAACTCTCGTGACGTCTAACTAACAAACAGCATTTGGTGTTTCCCGACAGGGAGGGACGGGCCGCCCTGATCACCTCCTTCTGCGTCTTTAAGTTCATGGCTCTCTACAGCATGATCCAGTACATTAGTGTCACGCTGCTCTACTCTGTGAGTACTGATAATGTCTGCATGGGTACTTCCTGCCCCCCTCCCCGCCCCCAAAAACAAGGTCACTGATGAACCAGAAAGATAAGTGAGAGTGAGTGGTGGGCGACCACTAACCAGAATTGCTTTCCATATTAGACTCTGTGTAATGCTAACCGGCGTTCGAATCCGGATCTTGCGTTGTGATGACTTGGCGTATGTGATATAACAGGCTATGCCCAGTGTCTTTGGCTTCCTACCTGCATTATGGTAGCCCAACCAAGTGCTGTGTCAGTCTCAGGCTCCATGTAATGCAGACTCACCTTAGGCTCTGTCTCAATTTCACCTCCCCCCCCCCCCACTGGTGTTTTCAGATGCTCAGCAACCTGGGAGACTTCCAGTTCCTCTTCATTGACGTCGCCATCATCCTGCTCATCGTCTTCACCAGTGAGTTCCTGGGGCCCCAGGAGTTGTATCGTGTAGCATGCCGTGTGAATCCACTTCTTCGCTTTAGCTTGGCTGAGTGACTACATCAGTTCTTCCCAATCCGTTCCTCGGAGACCTTCAGATAGTCCACGTTTTTGCTCGTATCAAAAATGTGGACTGTCTGGCAGGGAGCAAAAATGTGGACTGTCTGGCAGGGAGCTGGGAGGGAGCAAAAATGTGCACGGTCTGATTGGGAGCTGGGAAGGAGCAAAAATGTGGACTGTCTGTAAGTCCCCGAGGACCAGGATGTGAAACACTGGACTTGATTTATATGACTTTTTTTTCAGTGTTAATAAAAACTTCCTTTGAGTCTGATTATATACAACATATTTTTGAGCACTATAAAAATCCCTCATTATATGGTTATGGTGGTTTGGTTTGGAGATGTGTGTGTATATTGATGGGCCCACTCACCCCGTATGTGTTTGTATGCATGCCTGTGTGTCTCTGCGTCTGTCTGCGTCTGCATGCGCCTCGCAGTGAGCCTGAACCCAGCCTGGAAGGAGCTTGTGTCACGGCGACCACCCTCAGGCCTCATCTCCGGCCCACTGCTCTTCTCTGTGCTGACCCAGATTCTCGTCTCCCTGGGCTTCCAAATGCTTGTCTTTCTCTGGGTGCGACACCAGAGCTGGTATGAGAAGTGGACACCCAGCTCCAAGTGAGTGCCCCCCCCCCCCCCCCCCCCCGATTTACCCGCTTGAAACCCGAGGGCATGAGCCGCCGCTTTTCTCCTCGATGTGAGAGGTACGCTCATGGCTAAGTCGACAACATTACATTTACCTCATTTAGGTAGCTACAGAGAATTTGATACGTTTCCCTTAAATCTAAGCTGACGTTTCTGGATGCCGCATGCGAGGTCCCTCCTGCCACGTTTTCAAACAGCACGCTGCCGCGTTGATGGTGATCTCTGGTCGTTTTAATTATTTCCCTCCCCGCGATACTCAGATGCTGCTCGCTTTATGATGGGTCCACTTACGATATTTTGACTTTACAATGGTGCGACGTTGACGCGCGTTCAGTAGTCACCACGCTTTGAATTTCGAATTTGTTCTTGGGCTGCCGATGTACACTGTTAAACCACAAATCATACTGTGTTTTCTTCTGTGTTTAACGAAATTTCCCCAAGCCTGTTATGTCCACAAAATAAGTACTGTAATATAATGTGATATTCATATTTAACTTACGGTATTTTCAGTCTGCATGTAAAATGGAACGACACGTCCTGGAGCTTAATCTACGCAAATGTGAAGGATGTAAACAGGCGTGTTGCTCTTCCTTCCCTTGGCCAGTGGTACCACAGTGGTGTAGATTTGGTCACGAGGCAGCGCTCTAGCTGTGGATTCTGTGAGAGTGTGATCACACGACGCAAAAGAAGCTCTTCAGAGCTGCTTGGATGGGATGAGCTACGACGTTTTTCTTTGACCTGGTGAGGTCATCAGTGGGATCTCGCATTACATCTTTGATTACATCAGCTTCTATTCAGATGTATAGTTAATTTTTCAAAAAAGCTTTGGGTAACAAAGTACATGAAAACACTTCTCTGGAAGAAGAAGATGGCTTTCCTGCCGGCGTATGAAGAGGAAGTCGAGAGCAATAGACCTGAAAAGGAAGATCTGGGTGGGGTAGAGGAAATAACAATAATGGTATGAAGGGAGTATGGAAAGGGGTGGGGGGTAGAGCATTGTTTAGGTTAAACTTAATAGCCCCAGTGAAGTCAAGAACCATGGGGGCACATGTGTTAACCCTGGTCTTTAACAGGTACGACATTAGTCACAGATCGTGTAGTTCCTGTGCACAGGCAGCAATGTTTAATGCCCCAGTATCTACAAACCAGATTCTCGGATCACTCATGAGGGATTTCCTACCTCAGGTACCGTTTGACGCAGAGGTCTTACATTGGTACGGAGGACACTATTTTGTGCATGTTTGACAGAGCTGAATCCCCCCCTGGACAAACCATGCAACATCATGAGGAGTTGATGTTAACATCATCCAGCCTTCCCTGCTGAAGGAGAACATGAACCGGTCTTTCATGACACCCTGGGTGCCTGGATCACATATGACTTCATCACCTGGCCAAGTTCATCCCCATCAGTAATTGCGGATGTAATTTAAGTGATTTCTGATGTGGTGATGAGGAACATAAGGACACCACAGGAGACAATGCCGTTCCTGTTTACTCTTTTCACCCCAGAGTTCATTTACAACTCTGATGATTTTGAGGTTTATCAGTGAAGGAAGACAAGATGAGTACAGGAGAGTTTTCTTCTAAGAAGAACCACTTGCAACATGCAAGCAAACAAAACCACTTACAACCTGCAAACAGGCAGAGCAGGAAGTGGCTGACCACTGTCACCATTCAAGGAAGTAGCATAGAAATGCTACAATGCTGCAAGTCTGCATCACTGAAAGGCACAACTGGTATGACAAGATGGATTGAGTCTCCAAGAAAGTGCAAAATAATATGCTGTTTTTCTTGTGGTCCTTACTTGTGCTGAGCCAACGACTACAGCATTTGCCAGTTCCTCATAGCCAAGCCATGTTCTTCAATCTTTGATATCAAGAGGCGGGTAGACTGAACAGTCCTAACTATGTCAAAGGACTGAGACTGGACTGAGACTGCACTTAGAAGAGGTAGTGGAAGGAAGAATGGTCTCCTATAACTGTACTCTCAACAAACAGCTGGTATGACTGGAGTCTCCTCAGTGACAGACCGTTTTCCCTCTTTACCCATCTCTTCCCCAATCCAGCTTGAAAGACATGAACTCACCTCTTTGACTTATCGCTGTACTCATGTTAAGCACTTTTGATGTTTACAAAGCCTGTTTTTATTTCACCACGTGCACTGTACTATGCAATTTCATTTATGTGTATATATTATATCTTCAGAGGGGGTTTATTGATTTTTCTAATACTGATACACTACAAAACCCCCCCCCCCCCCCCCCCCACCGGGAGATCTATGAAGTTCTGTCTTATACCAGTCTCATCATTTGTTTTTATGGCATTCTATGTACAGTGTGAGTGGCTAATCAACAAATATCTCCCAGGTGTTTTACCCCGCTCTGCGCATTAGCTCTTATCATTCACTTTAATTTGGCTGTTTCGGAATTCGCCATTTCCGTGAACCTTTTATTTCTGACTTCTCCTGCAAATGATCATTATTGTTTCTCTCCAGTGCCTGCAATTCCTCCAGCATTGCTTCCTTATCCGTCCACAACACGAACGTGACCTACGACCCCTACGACAAAAACATCAGAAACTATGAGAACACCAGCGTGTTCTTCGTCTCCTGCTTCCAGTATCTCATTGTCGCCATTGTGTTCTCTAAGGGAAAACCTTTCAGGCAGCCTAGTTACAAGAACTGTGAGTTTCTCTGCATGGAATGTCCTACAACATACACATGAGTCCAGGGGTGGAACTTAAGAATGTTCTACTAGCCGACTGAGCTAGCTCAGTTAAATATCTAGCCCCATGTGCATTTTTTTCACTAGCCAGCGAGCGAGTGTTCAGTTTTCTGTACTTGAGACGGAAAGCTTAATTTCTATCCCTGGATGAGTCTGTTTTTTTGTATGTCTCCATCACGTGAAAATGTAGCACACATGTTGAAATCGTAGTTATCAGAGTGCTTAGGCTTCAGATTTGACCTTGTCCCATTGAACACTGACCAATCGAATCCTAGCAGAATTTATAAAGTAACCAGTAGGGAGAAAGTTACACCAGTCAGCAAATGACAGCATACGATTGCTCCGCCCACCATGGGTTTAAAAGCCCATTTTGTTCTTAGGTTGGTTGTTGATGTTGCTTTCTTTAGCTACATTCTGGATTGTATTTATGAATGAGTTATTTACTGGTTCTTCGATTATGTGTAAAGGAGTAAAGAGTCACCCATTTGCCACACAAAACAGGTTCTTAAAAAAGTTATTTGCTGACTTTTCTTGCTTTACCATTTTTTGTAGGGCTTTTCCTCCTGTCTGCATGCATGTTATACATCTTCCTGCTCTTCATCATGTTGAATCCAGTCCCTGCTATCGATAAGTTCCTGGACGTAAGTGTCCCACTTGCTATGAGTATTAGCAGAATTTTGGAGGAGCCTGCGGCGATCGCTCACCTGAGGGTCTGGGGTTTTGTCTTCTTCAGATCGTTTGTATTCCATTCCAGTGGCGCATGACCTTGCTAGTTATCATCCTGCTCAACACAGGGATGTCTGTCCTGATTGAGGTAAGGATACTTACCAGCATTTCCTCTCAACACTTGACAACTCTGGAAGTTACCCTTAGAAAAAACCGGACACGAGGATGCTAGCAAGAATAAAGGTCAACAAATGAAGACTATTTATAATGGCTATTTTTATGTGTCTGGTGATGGTTGGATGTTTGAGCCATACATACAGAAGGTATTTGATGGACCAAACTCACGTCGCATTTTTTGTCCCTATGGTGTTTTCCACAGGCCAATGAAAACAGGCCTCAATACTTGGAATGTCATCGCTGCACATCTGCTTAATATCATACGTTTATATTTAATTTGTTTAGCAGAGGCTTTTATGCAAAGCATCGTACATTTTTAAGAATGCAGGGGTCAGACAGTCCCTGAAGAGACTGGGATTATGGGCCTTGTGCAAAGGGGCCGACGGTGAAATCACTCTGCTGACAGTGGGATTTAACCAGCGACCTTCCGATCACTGGCAAATGCGAAGTCCACATAAACCGATCAGAGGTGGGATTCAAACCCCCAGCCTCAGCGGTTCATGGTATATGGCAACAGTGCTACCTAATAACAAGCCACCATTGTTCCCCCGTGGGGGGGGGATTCATGGTGATGCCTGTGGGGCTTTTCCTTTGACCTTTTCCTTTATGCTCTTTGGCTTCTCATACTTTCAGATAATTGATCTATTCAGTCCTGGGGGGGGGGGTATGTGCCATATCAGTTGGCGCCATCTGCTGTTGATATGTGCATCAACACTTCGATGGCTGATAGGTGATTCTGATCCTGTTAAAAATCGGCTTCTCCCCTGTAAAAGTAACCTGCCAAAAACACAGAAGGGCCCAGATCACAGCATTTTATCTAGATTTCTCACAACTTCTCTACAACAGCTTCCTTTAAATCAAATTTTTCAATGCACAATCTTTCTGATGAGTTATTTATAGATGATCTGCCACTAACTTCTTCAATATCTCCTTATTAATACTATGAAACACAATCAGTCCAAGATGAGTGATTCGGACTAATAGTGTTGAATCAACAGTTGCCTTTAATTCTTTCCTGCTGGCTGCCGCATCCCATAGACCTTCGTCCTCGATGCCATCTTATGGAGGCTGGTGTTCAGCCGAGGAAAACAAGGCAGCAGTGACATCACAGCTGCCGCCCGCACACCTCAGGTTGGGAATCTGATGCTCTTCTCTGTCGCTTTGACTCCTGCCTTCAACCCCCCGCCCCACCACTTCCACCTTATTCCCTGCCCTTGCAATGGTGATCGTCACTACTGTCTGCGCTGTCTGCTGCCCTCTAGTGGTTCTTATGTTGTTCATGCACATTTAAACTGGGTTCACCCTGCAGTTGCTACAGTACCTGTTGGAGTAGAGTGGCCTTGTTACATTGTTTAATAATACTGCATCATGTAATAACTCGACAAAATGTAACAAGTATTGACTTCATTATGTAATAGCAGCCGCATTTTGTAATAATCTTCCGCATTTTGTAATAATCTTCCGCATTTTGTAATAGACAGCTTGAACACAATATGTAATACAATTCCCTGAATTCTGTTATTATTATTATTGTTACAAATGGAAATGGTTATTCCAAAATGCAGGAGTTGCACTTCTAAATGATGAAAGTGTAATACTGTGCATTATGTAATAATCAACCAAGATGGATGTCTACATTGACATTTTGCCATGGTATTACATAAATGCGCCATTATTACATGATGCGTTGCAACAGGTCTTCACCGGGTACTTTACGTTACGTAGCATCATCAATAACTTCCGTTAGGTAAGCATTTGGAAAAACAGACAGGTCTTTAATATCCTTTAAGTAGGGCTGGCCAGGTCTAGTAGATTGTCTATTAGGTGAAAAAAGGTGATGATAACAAACCAGGTAAAAAAGGTGTATTGCAGTAGGCGGTGAGAAGTGTTGGTGACTCGCCTCTGTGCCTCGCCTCTGTGCCTCGCCGGGCCTCATCCTTGGTGCGTCTTGTTACAGTCAGCCATCGACCACTGGGGCTCCAGGTGCCTGGCGGCACTGCTCCGCTGGGGTGGCAAGACCCCCCGGGCACGCTACATGTGCCTGGCCCAGGAGCTGCGGGTGGACCCAGACTGGCCCCCCAAGCCCAAGACCACCACCGAGGCCAAGACCCCGTCCTAGCTTGCCAAATGACGTCTGCGTCCTAGTGTTCAGTGATCAAGTGAATGTGACCAGGAAAGGCCGACTCCGAATGGAAAGATGGAAAAAAAAAAAGACATTTTTCTTTCATTCTTGGTACCGGCAGCCATAGAGTCTTCTGGCATCTCTCTGTTTTTGCTGTTCTGATTCTTCACACTGTTTTGTCTTGGGTGAAAAGTTTACAGGCTGGAAACCGAGTTTGTCAAATGTACTTCCAGCAGTGATCACTGCAGTGGCTCCGGCAAGGATTACTGCAGTGATTGCTTTTTCATTCTGTAAATATGTAATTAAGCAGTGGCCTACTTTAGTTTTTAACAGGAGATGATTCTACAGTGCACTGCTGTTTCAATAATCCCAACCTAAGAACAATGTGGTTACATTATTCACGCACAAAACTTTACAGTTCTGGGGGCATTTCTCACAACAGCTGTGGAGAGGCTGATCTGATCCGCAGGGCACTTTGACAGCCAACGTAGCACAAAAGCTGGAAATATGATCATTAAATGGATTTACAAATGGGAAACTTACCTTATTGCTCACCAGTGCCTCATGTTGTCACATGACCTGATTTGCACCACTCACTGTCACCCTCTGTATGGGTATTTCTTCCTGTGGAAGAACAGTCTAGGTCTGATAATCATGAAAGTTGAAGCCATCTTGGAATTCTTTTTGCATATTAACATTTTCTGTTTGTTGCCTTGATTGTAAACTATGGATAAATCTTCACTTCTTGTGATTGCTGTGCACATACGCATATTTGACTTTTTCTTCTTCCTTAAAGTTAGGGCACCTCTCTCCTGCCAACAGTTTTTCATCTAGAAACTCTATTCCTCCTCTCAAATGTTCCACCCATTAAGTCTCCTTAGTGTTTTTTTCTTGATATTCCACCCACATCCATCTTTTTCATCCCTCTTTCTGTCAAATTTTTCCTATAGACTTGTATGGGGAAATTTCTCAAACTGCTCCCATTCAGTCCCATTTACCTCCCATTTAGGTTTGAGGGTTACCTTCATGGATCCAGTAACCACATTCATTTAATCCACTGAAGGTAAATGTTAAACAGAACCAACAGAATCATTTTCTTGTTCAGTTGTAGATATTAATTTCTCCATGGCCAATAAGTGATGTTCCAGCTACGAATCTGCTACATTTTTAACTGAAGCTGCTTTTATTGCAGATATGGAGATTTTTCCTCTGTTGCTGCAGGTGATGTTTGGCACACCTGCACAGTTTAAAGCAGGGGTGCCCAACTCCAGTCCTGGGGGGCCGGAGCCCTGCACATTTTTGGGTTTCCCCTCATTTATCACACCTGATTCGACTCCTTGTGCTAATTACCACACAGCTCTTGAGCTGAATCATTTATGGTGGAACAGGGAAAGAACTAAGCTACACAGGGCTCCGACCCCCCAGGACTGGAGTTGGGCACCTCTGGTTTAAATTAAGCAGGAGACTGGATACCTCAAAATATCACTTTAGCAGCTGAGGCTACAGTCTCTGTTTAAACTTACGAAACCACTTGTACGCATATCGCAGTGACGGTGATTGATTTAATATAACCATCAACCCAACCTGTACTCACAGTCCACTGTGGAATGAAGGAGTTAGACTTCACAAACACTCTAATAGTAAAACTAGCCATGGGCGTAAGTAATTATGTTTGAATAAGAAAAGGAATAGGAAAAAAATTACGGGTGTCTTTAAATCTTTAATTCTCAGAATCAAAACTTGCCTAAATTGTATCCTTATAGAAGAATGTGTTACGTGGTGCATTACTCTTGGGTACTGTATCATCTTTCTGTGTCACAGAACTGCCCTGTTTAAGCATCTAAAGTACATCTAACAACATTTATTCAGTCCAGTGTCATAAATGACTTTAAATCACTGCATTTTATATTATAACTGCAAAGTAATATTTGCAGGAGCTAATTTTAATCCAAGCCATTGTGCATTATGTTAATGACAGCCAATTTAGTGTAAAATACTGATGTGATGTAAATATTTTAGATAGATATATAAATTAACATTTAAACACCATTTGATTCTCTAATTACGTGTCAAACGATGTGCCTTTGCAATTCCCTGCTCAATCAGAAGAAATCAAAACTGATCATTTTTGGTTATTTTACAATACAAGTAAAAGTGATCACAATGTATGACAAAAATGTATTTATTTCAGGAGTAAAAGACTAGACCATAAAGTTATCAGCTTTGTTCTGATTTTAGGGACAAATAAGACACTTTTGTCATAAGGAAATGAAGTGAATATGATCGTCACATGTCATAGTTATTTTTATGATTGTTTTTGGGTGTAAATCTTAATATGTGTATTTACAACTGAATAGAATGTTTGTGTATTTCTCATAATCCCACTAGTTTGCACATTGGTTTTATAAAGGTTCCTTTGAAACTATTGCATAATGTTTTACCTCATTGATTACTATGTTTGTATGTGTTGTACATATATTGTAGCATTCGTGTATGTAAAGTCAAGTATTAACATTGAGCAATTCTGTATTTTGAACAGGGTGTGTAGATTTTGGTTTTAATGGCAATTAAATGAATTTAAGTGTCTGGACTGTCTCAGACTATCCATGTTGAAAGTTTTTCGTCCTTGGCTTACAATAACAGGTCATAACTAATTGCTTTAAAGAATCACCTTCACCTTTTTATTATCTCTGATTTTTCATGTAAATAGAATGTACAGGGAAGATAGATAGAGGGGGCTTGGAACCGATATATTGAATTTTAAATCTGAAGTCTGTGCTTCAGAATATTTAGCATTAACTGAAATAAGCTTTCTGAAAAACCTGTATTTCAGTATTTTGTATGAAACACAAAATTTAACAGAAAACATTACCTAGGATATTTTGATATTTGGATTTTTGTGTAATAAAGTACCTAGCCTGTGACGGCCTGGCATCCTATCCAGGGTCTATGCATGCCTTCCGCACAATGCTGTTAAGGACAGACTCCAGTCCCTTATCACCTAGAACTGGATACCCAGTTGAAGGGTGATGAATGGTATAAAAAAAAAACTAATTCTTAAAAAATCGCTAAAATATGAATGACTTTCTTTACAGAAAAACGCAGGTCAACAATACACATACTATGAAGTTATAAATTTTTTTAAGTGGAAAAAACTTTAAATCTTTAGGTTGTAATAAAATATAACATGTATTTTCATGTACATTGTTTTTAAAAAAAAAATTGGGTTATATATATATATATATATATATATATATATATATATATATATATATATATATATATATATATATATATATATATATATAACTGACGGAACAGATTAAGATTATATTATATTTTTAAATAAAGTAATGCATTTGATAGTGCCGAGTTTGCAAGAAATAGTAGTGGAATGTTATATTACTAGAAAGTTTCTAGTCGGATAGTTATTGCGTTCGGACTGGCAACCCGGAAGTGGCTGATTAGACCTGTCATTTGGGTTTTCTTTTTGTGCCCTTGTTTGCTCTAATATGACCGGTTTTCAAATGGAGTGAATTTTCAAAGAGGAACAATTATAGTATTACTCAGTATGACTGTATTGCGACCTGGGAACGCTGTGGTCTGGTGAGTATATTTTATATCGTATACTAAAATGAGCTGGGAAAGATGATTAGCTGGCTGTTTGACTACCATGCCAGTCAGGTAACACTCTACAGTTCTTATAAATGAATGTTTTTTATCGCCCTAGTTTATATTTTCTGAATATGGACTAACACACAAAACGAATTATGTGACCATGACGCTGTTAAATAAAATATAAAAGACTATTTGCTACAATTATGGTTAACATTTCAGAATGTTACCTGCACAGTGTTTACAGTTAAGATTCACGTTAATAAAACTGCAAATTGTGTCGTAGTTAATGTATGCAGTAGCATACTTTTTAATACACTGATAGAATTATAAATTCATGGACAATTTTTCATTTGTTTTAAATTAAACAAGCATAAAACTACACACAGAGCACAGAGATAACTAGTATTTTGGATTTAAAAGCTTTAAAAGAATTCCGTTTATGAATTTGTACGAATGACTATAGTTGCTTTCATAATTATGTCGTATTCGTGATTTCATGCGGCCGAATGTCTTTAAAATCGAATTTGCATGTCGGTAAATGCTGTTCCCTTCCGCTGCAGTGTGGCCTGTCGGGTCCTGCTTCCAGCCCACGGCGGGTTGAGGTGCAGGCTGCCCTTGCAGAAGCTGCCCTCTCTGTCGCGCCCCATCCACCACCGCTACTCTTCGAGCGGCACCCCGAGCCGCGTCCCATGCCGGTCAGCGGCTCGAAGCTACAGCTCCCTGACGCGGCCCACATACCGCTTCCCGCGGCCGCCGCCAGGGGGCCCCGCATACCAGCAGCGCCGCTCTTTCTGGGTGGCCCGTCTGGCCGCGAGGTTCCTGAAGCTGCGTTACCTCCTTCTCGGATCTGCCGTAGGAGGCGGGTACACGGCCAAAAAGGTTCGTGTTGTGGATCTGAGGATGAGAACAACATAGGCCTACATTCATACTACACAACATAGTAAAGACGATTCCATGGGGCCCGGAGCCGCAGGGGCCCTAAAAAAAAATCAGAACATAACTGGATTGTTCTGAGTTGGGGGGCTAATATAATATGCTTTCATGGTGCCCAAAATCTCTAACAACACCCCAGGGCCTACACATCTATTCTGGGGACAGGGAAATGACACGTACTCTTCCCGAATTTTAACTTGCCCGTACATTACTTTGGTGGTGATTATTGCTCAGTTTAATCTATTTTCTTTGCATTACTTTGGAAATGGCTAGCTCTTCCTTTGGGAACTTAGAAACGTGATATCAAGGCATTAATTCAATTAATGATGCCATTCAGTGTTGATGGATTTATATATGTGCTTCAAGGAACACTGATTGGAAACATTTAGCGTTCTGAATGCTGCCCATTTAAATTAAGTGTGTGCACCAGAATACGTGGTTCTGAAATATCAGTGGTAATGTGACAGAATAGGTATGATAATGCAATTTTATTAGTGATTGTGTTTCTAGGTGTTTTGATGATGTACATATTGTTTATTTTGTGGGAATTATTTGTATCTGCCAAATATCACCTCATCGGTGTCATTGGACGGGGATTCCGTAAGTCGGAGTTGCTCATGATGTGTATCTCAGGGATACAAGGCTGGAGACCTTGTTGTCCAATACTGTGATACTGTCTTGGACTTGACCTGGTTTCAAACTGGCATGTGCTGACGGCTGTTTCAGACACAATGGTGCTGTTACTCCATTGTGAATTTCAAAGCCCCCCCCCTGCCTGCATCACTGCCAGTCACATGACTCAAGCCAGGGTCCCAAATGCTAAACAGATGGCTGCCTTTTATGCCACGCGTGTGTCCCCCCCCCCTCCACCCCCAGTCTATTTAACAAAATCTTCACTCCATGTCTCTCTCCTGAAGGCGGCTCACTTGCAAATTGGCTTCTTGCACCGTGGGATGGTGTTTGTCACAGTCGAGATTTTAAATATGAGAGGAGGTGATGGTATGGGAAGGAGATCAAGCTGAACTTCCCACCTATGGCTTGATCTTTCAGTTGCTTTCAGGAAGAACATGGCCTGGTTTACTGATGCTCACCTTGTTTCATCTGAGCTGAACTGATCTCCTGTATCTTTAAATGTTTCTGTGTTGTATATGGCTGTAAATAAACTTGTTCATGTAGAAACCAGTGTCTCATCCCTCAAATTAATGTTTAGTTCAGTGAAACAGCCCATTAAATAGTGTTGATTAATCAGCACACGTTGCTTTGTTTCAGACTTTTGAGGAATGGAAGGACATGATTCCGGATTTTAGCGAGTACAAGTGGATGGTGCCTGATTTCATCTGGGATCTTAATGAACATATCGACTTAGGTACTTCTGACTTAAAAAAAAAAATCCAATAAGTTCATTATGCACTGAAATTGTTCTGCATGTAGTACTATAATGTGGCTTCTATGATGTTACCAATAGGCTTGTTAATACTGTAACTTAAAGTTAATTGTGTTTCATGCTGTGGAAAGTGTCTGTTGAACTGTGTATTTGTGACACACATAAATATGGTGTTTTTTTTTCTTTTTTTGTTTTTTTTATTAGAGAAGATCGCCAATGCCTTGCCAGACCTAGAGGAACTGTCCAAGCTCCTTCCAGACTTGACAAAGATGGGCGAAAACCTCTCCTTTTTCAAAAGCCTGGTCTCAAACGGTGGGTTTGAGATCACTGCCCCTTCACTGCCTTCCCCTCATGTGTCTTTGTAAACGCGTGACATGCAAAGTGTCGTGTGTGAATAAGGTTAAACCGCTAACAAGGATAAGTCCATTATATTAGTTCATTTTCTGTTTTGTTAATCCTTCGCAAGTTTGATTGTCTATGGAGCTTCTGGTCACCATCTGTTGTTAGGTGTGTAAATGCAGTGGGGTAACGCCAAGCCCACTGCTCGCCTCTGAGTTTCTGACATTGGGTTGTCCTGTTCAGACTTTCGTTGGGTTGCATCCACTCCTGCTGCCGTGCTTCCCTGCAATATGTTCACTGCGAAAATATCTGAACAGATCTGTCCTGTAGAACCACCATGGAATTAAGTTAATTCCTCCACAAGTGTATCTGCTACCTCTCAGCTGTCGATAAACAGCCCCAGAAAATGAGTCACTGGAAAATTTCCTTCTTTGATGTGGCCGACCTTAATTGAATCTGTGAAACTTTTGTTGAGTTATGGCTGCTGCAGTGAGGGGGAGAAGATCTGGTGGTAATCGTCCCCAAATCAAGGTCACTGAATATGCATTTAGATTTTGCTGCAGTTTTAACTAAATTCAAGATGTGCAGTGTTCCTTTTTGCACCACTTTTGCAGTGCATCTGCTGTGCACGGCCATACCAGCATGTCTGCTAACCCGTGGCAGCTGAGAGATCCACTGCAGTGCTGCTTTCCTGTAGAGGAGAGGGCCTGTTGCTGTGGCTACCTGAGAGTGACCATTACTGGATGGCACTGGATGCAGCTTAAATGGATTCATTTGGGTTCAATAAGGAATATGCAGTTAACCTCGTGAGGACTCTGAATTGCTTACACAGATCATGTGCAAAGAATGGCCACACCTTGTCACTTCTGGCGCTGTGAATGATTTATTGATAGGGTTTCCAGTGGATGGGTCATATTTACCTGCAAAGTCTACTTGACGTTACTTTAATCAGTAACTTAAGTTAATTATTTTCATAGTGGGGCTCATACCCACGGACTTAACATCCTATGCAAACATCCTACTGTTAACTGGTATGGACTACAGCTAACGACAGAAAACACCTGATTTTGTTTCTTTTTTGGGTGGGGTGAAGACTACTGTACCTGTGTCCCTTTCGTCTTATTCTGGTCCTCCACCTGAACCGGCTTTTTCAGTCTGAGAGCAGGTTCTGACACCCCCTTCAAAAGTATGGAAAATGCCCGCCGAGGTCTGAACAAAGATTAAGTAACATGTGACCAGAGGCTTCAGTGCCTTGTGCTGGTTGGTGGCACAATGCCATTACTTGCAGGGTGGTAAATACTAAAGACATAATGCTCGTACCTTGGTT